AAAATTCTAATTCCAATAATTATATTAGGAAGTTGTCAAGTTCATGGTTGTAGATACAAGTTTTCCAAAACTGATTTTTTCTAGAAAGCTCAAAATTTTATTACCAATAACAAACACCATCAGTGATTTTTCCTTGGTGAGCTTACTTCACTTACTTTTGAGAACATTTATGACAAATACCAAGGTCTGACAGTTTGTCCATTCTTTTAAGTAAAAATAATGTCCCTGGAAAATGCAATTAGTTTAGCCATCCTAGAGAGAACCAATGTACATAAGTAAGCAGTACAAGTGTTTGATGTAATATTTACTGCTTAATAAGAAGAACTGCTTCACCAAAAGCATTTGTAAATAAAACTATCTTAAAAACAAACCATGACTTTGGGGCAGTGAAGCAATGACGCTAGACAGTGTGGTACCTCGACCTTGATTCGGGTGAAGTGGCCAACACTGTAAGCCCCATCTACTTCTCCAACATGCAAATATCAGCACAGTGAAACAGTAAGAGACACTTCATTATTATTCTAATGACAGCTTGATCTGAGGACCCTAGGGGTCCAAAAACCATATTCTAAGAAGTGCTACCTTAGGACTGGTAATTATATCTGCTTTCCTGCCTCCCCAGGACCCCAAAGTCTCCAATTTTTTCCTGAAATGTATACAGAGGCCCTTGCTTAATGTTTAAGAAAATACTTTAAAGTTTTTTTTATCTTTTCAAAAATGTTTAAGCAGAGTTCAAGATGACTTTCCAATCTACAAACAGTAACAACTATTGTACTTGTTATTAAAACCTAAACAAATGCTTTAAATTCTTAGTACTAGCCTTCATAAAAAAGTTAAAGTAGTCTAACAATAATCAAATATCACTTTCTTGAAAAGGTTACAGCAAAGCACCTGCTTTTCAGAGAGCTAAACTTCAGAATCCCTGGAGTTCCCCTTCAATGACCCCCTCCCCTGCCACCACAGATTTCCTTGTGCCATCGGCCTCCACAGCTCAGTGAAGGCCCTTCAGCCTGTATTCTGTGTGTTACTGGGGCAGGAGACAAACAAAAAACAAAAAACACAGAAGCTGTGAGGATGAACAGGCTGCTCTGCCCAAAACAGTCTTTCCTAAATATGCCTGTAATTTCCACGCAGACTCAGTACCTCTAAGGGCCAGGCTCAAGGGCTGTATTTTAACAAACAACCCCAGAGGGGGCCCATATCAGATGACCAGCAAACTTTGGAAAATGCTGCCTAAATATGCTAGGACGTCTACAGGTGTTCTCCCAGCGAAACTGAAGCATTAGTTCAACCTACATAACATGACCCTGCCCAGAGAACTTCAGTTTGTCTCTCCCTAGAATCTACTGAAAATAATTTTAAAGCTTTTGTAAGTATTTTGCTTCATTTTAAAAAGTTCTGGGCTAGAGATCTAGCTCAGTGGCACCACAACTGCCCCACAAGTGCAAGGTCCTGAGTTCAATCGCCAGTACCAAAAAAAAAAAATTCCTAGTAGTTACCTATTTTTTACTTTTCTGGAAACTGACTAGAACTTTCAAGTTTTTGCTATCAATAATAAAATTTTTGTCATCTACCACTTACTCTTTCATCCCATTTATCAACGAACTAGTCAGTGAATTTTTTTACTAATCTACTATCATGAAGCCTATATCCTGGATTAAGCGTCCCTCCAGGTAGCCCCTTCCGGGCCTTATCAGAAGTCAAGCTGACTCACTCATCTCAAAACACATCCTGGTATTATATGTCTTCCATTCCCCTCCTTTCCTGCCTATACTGCTGAGTTACACAACACAGAACCTACCTTCATTTCACAAAAAAACCCCATTCACTTCTTTCTGCTTGTGTTCATTCAACTCTTTTCCTCCAGATTAAGGCAAATGTTCTGTTGATATAATTTTGCTCTTTTTCTTTACCAGTGAAGCTTTACTAATTTATACCATAAATATTATATGAATATTTATATAAAATAATTTGAATTACCTGAATTGTTATATGCATATATATGAAATAGAAAGGTAGCTATGATTGCAGATTTTTAAGTGTAAACAACCTTCTCTCACAGCTTTAATTATGTCTGCATTTGTTTTAATGTCTGAACTTACCAAAAGGTCATTCCTGCTTGTTTTCATCTGTATGCAAATAAAGGATTACCGACCATTCCTGGATGTGTGGTACAACACTGTTGACGACCCGGGAGGGCATTCTCATTGAGTTGTATCTCCAACCCTTTTAAAATTTTTTAGACAGGGCCTTGCTAAATCACTAAATTGCTCAGGCTGTGCTGGAACTTGCAATCCTCTTGCCTCAGCCTTCCAAAGGGCTGGCACTACAGGCATGTACCACAACTGGCTATGACTACCAACTTTAAGAGAAAATATTAATACTAGCACTCTGAGAGGCTGAGACAGGAGAACTGCAAATTAAGGCCCAGCCTGGGCAATATAGTGAGGACCTTATCTAAAAATATAAAACGGACTTGCAAGTGCAAGGGCCTGAGTTCGATCCCCGGTGCAAAAAATAAATAAATAAATAAATAAAACAAGCAA